TCTCAGGGCAGCTTCTGCAGCCTGACCTGCCCCTGGGCAGCGGCCTCTCTAGGTCACAGCACTGCAGCCCGCCCCTCTGACCTGCCTGCACTCTAGCAGCCGCACCTCCTGGGCGCCCCATGGTGAACGCCTGCTCTAGCAGCACCAGGCAATAGGAGGCAAGGTCCAGCGCCCCACAGAGGCAATACAAGACTGAAGAGCAGCTCCAGGGTGAGCAGAGCCTGAAGGCCTGGGAGGGCTTCTGGAGGGCAGCCAACTGGAAACGTCTATCATGGAAATGAGCTTGTACTACTGAGACCAGGGTTCAGATTTAATGGTTGATATTCCAGGACTATCTCTGGGAACTTCATCGGGGTGTGCCCCTGTGCTCCCACCTGCCACTCTGACCTGCGGCCTCCGCTCCGGCCAGTGCAGGCAACTGTCTGATGCTACATTCCTCAGTCCCCGCTGTCACTGTGCCCTCTGCTCCTCTCCCACAAAGTCTGCTGAGCTGGTCTGGTGCCTTTTCTTTCTCTCTTCCAGAGCACAGCCAAGTCCAAACTCTTGAAACAAATTTTTAACTGTTATTTCCTTGTGCCCTCACCCAGTTCTAACACAACTTTTGTCAGGAGAGTGTACACTGTGAATGGGAGCATGGACCCTGGTCAGAGGGCCCGAGTGCAGGTCCTGACTGTCCCTCGGGAGCTGTGCCATCTTGGGCCTGCCACGGGTCTCCAGGAGCTTCACCTTCTCCCAGTCCCTAGGCCTGGCACTCACCTGGAAGGGGCCTGAGACTAGCTCTCCAGAAGATGAGGTAACACTGAGTTCATCTTATGTGGGGGGGAGTCCTTAGAGGAGAATTTTGAAGTGAGCGCCCCCTCTGTTTCCAGGCTCATCTCTCAGAGTACCAGCTGCCCCTCTGCTTCTTCCTTGGCTAGTGGACAGCAGGGACTAGGCCTGGTGCCTCAGGGTCTCCCAGGCCCACAGAGGGTATTGGGAAAACTGCACCCAAGGACACTGGGCTGGGTCACTGAGGAGAGTTAGTTCCGGAGTGTGATAAAATAGGGAAGGTGAGGTGGGGCAGGGAGTCAGCAGGACGGTCTGTTATAACTCACGTTCACGACAGCCAGCGATGCTGGAGGCAAAAGCGTGACATTTTTAGAAATGACTTGTTGAGAAACTTAGAGAAGCCCCATTATTAAGGCAGAAAGTGGGGAAAGAGTCGGGACATCTCACTTTAATACTAACACTGATAACAATACGTCAATAACCATTTATTGAATACTTGCTCTTTACTAATATAAATGACGCAACCAGCCCCTCAATTCCTTAAACAACGTGTGAAGTGACTGTTTCACCCTAGAAGAGGAAACAGGCCAAGGAAAGATAATTAAATCTCCAAGGCAACTCAGAGGTGAAGCCAGAGCTCAAGCCCCTGTCTCCAAGACCGCAGTGAGGGCTCCTGTGGATGCCAAAGCCAAGTAATTGGCCCAGAAAATGGGGAGGGCTGGGGCTTGGCTGCAAAACTACCCGCACGCTCATTTTGCAGGTCGGCCTTCTGGAGACTGAGGTCCCACTGCTGACTCACCCGGGAGCAGCAGGCTCAGGTCTGTGGCTCTGAAGGGCCACACAGCACCATCTCTAGAGGCAAATCTTCCAGCTGTGACTTCCCCCTCCCCCCCAGATGACTGTGGTAGTTGGCCTCAGGGATGCTGGGGCCCAGGGGAGGCCTGCAGCCTGGCTGTGGTTGGAAAGCTAGGGGAGATGACTTGGTCTCTCTCCCTCGGTGACCAGGCAAATGGGGGTTGCACACAGTGCTCATTCCACTTACCTTTGGTTCTCCACTGTGCCTGTAAACAAGTGCTGGGCACCAGCCTCTTGCCCGCCTGTCCCTCATTCTTGGCCTCTTTGGACTTGCTTTGTCAGGACCAGAAAAGCATCAATCTGTTCTATTTCCTGGGGGCTAGTCCTGTGTTGCCAGTAGAAATTACGATCTCTTCCAGACCTCCTTTCCTGTTGCCCATAGTGCTTGGCATGGGGTAGCCCATTGCAAAAGATAGTGAGTGGGCACTGACTGGGTTTGAACCCCCTTATCATTTCCTGCCATGTGACCTTGGGCGGATAAACTACGCTTTGAAAGCCTCATTAGGGAGAGAGGATAATGAGAACCCTTCCTCAGGGGTTTTTGTGCAGGTACAGGGACTTTTCAACAGGGAGGTTACATGGGACACTGGAGCCTGACGGGGCTCAGTGGATGGCAGTGCTCACCGCTGCACATGGGCATAGCCACCTCCCCAGGACACATGGCCTGGCCACCCTGTTCAGCAGGACTCTTCGTTTTTCTTACGGCGCCGTTTATTTTCTTCAAAACTACTGAGCCCAGTTTGTAATTATACATGTGTTTGTTTACTTGTGCATGGAGCGGGGACCGTGTCTGTTTTCCGCTGCTGGATGCCCAGCACCACAGGCAGGAAGGCCACGTGGAAGGAAGGAATGACATCCTCCCTGTGTTCTTCAGGCAGAGCAGGGCTAGTACTTTTCTGCCTTCTCAGAGGACTTGGCTTTCAGATCCCAGTATCTTCCTCAGTCCCTCCAGAGATGGTCCTGTAGGTGGTGCAGTTGGGAAGGCAGTGCCAGCCACAGAACAGCTGGGTGAGAATGGCTGGGTGGACCCCAGGCTGGGTTACACTCAGCTTGTTGCCCACAGTCCTTGAAGGATGATGGGCTCATTTTGGGACTGCTCCTGACCTGTGGTTCTTTGACCTGGGGTTCCACAGCTGCAGGGAATCTTCACCAGAGCCCCTCAGCAGCACCTCTCTCACCTGGCGGGACCTGGCTTTCAGGAGAGGCCTGTCTGCCTCCCACTTCCCTCAGATCCTACCTCCTAGGTCTCCTGGTGCCTCCTGCCCTCAACTGAGACCAGGGCCCCTTGGCCTTGGCAGATGTGTGAGGCTGGGGGACACACTCTGAGTCCAGATGTGATTGTGTTTATGTTTCCAGAGTGAGGGGTCAGAGCTCTGGACTGGAGCTGTTGGGGGGATGGGTGATCAGGTTCCAGCCCCCACCTCTGCCTTCCCTCTTGCCACCTCTCTCCTCCAGCTTGTGTATCTGGCCCTGTCCCTCTCAGAACCCCACATTCCAAGTTCTGTGGCATCAGGCAGGTCCATCTCCAGAAAGGACCTGTACTTATGCCTCACCTCATGGTGAAGAGCCTGTACAAAGATATCTGGCTTTGTAATCTAAAGACTGTTGACTCATTGTGACCCTCACCCGGTGGCACAGCGTGCTGGAGCCTGGGGTCCAGCATCTGTGAAATAGGGACAACACTCCTGACGTCAGAGGCAGTGTTGACCTGGTTTGAGAATATGGGCACAGGGCTCTGCAGCTACTAGCCCAAGCCTCAGTCTGCCCCACTCCTGGCTAGAGCCCGTCAGAGTCCAGCTCCAGGGCAGTACCAGTTGCCATCACAAGGTGATTCTAACCTAGCATACCTACCCCTTCTCCCTCTCCTGCTGCAGCTGCAAACATTTTGTTTTGCCATTAGAAATGACTGATTTCGGGGAAGCTGAATTTCACAGGCAGTTTACTGGCTGGTGTTGTTCAGTAGTTTCCAAAAGCTGGGGGAGGGTGGAGGTGGCCAGACAGCTTTCGATAAATTGGTAGGAAAAGGAAGTGAGAAGTGAATTGTGCGATGGACACTTTCTCTGGCTCAGCCTTTTGTCCCTGGATGGTATTTAGAAGCATTGGGCAGCATGGAGGGAGGCCTCGGGTGGACTCTCGAGGAACCAGAACCCTCCGTCTCCTTGGAACAGCCCTGGCAGGTTTCAGAGGTGGGGATGCTGGGCCCACAAGGGAAACGATAGTCCCACCCTGACGTTCCCGAGTGCAGTGTGCCAGGGCTGCAAGGCCGGGCACCCAGAGGGACTCGAGGGTTATCACAAACCCAGCCGGAAAGAGCCTGCGGAGTCAGGTGGCGGTGGCGGGAGTGGGATCCCAGCTAAGGCGGCTGGGACGCAGCGCCACCAGGCTGAGCGGCTCAGCCGCGGAGCGCCCGGCTCGCAGAGGGGGAGTTTGGCGCCGCCGGCGGCGGCGGCAGCACAGGAGCCAGTCTGGCCAGGTCTGGGTCCGAGGTGAGGACGCGGGGGCAAGTGGCCTCGGGCTGGATCTCCTGAGAGCTTCCCTCCCACCCTCAGGGTCTGGGCGGTTGGCTCCCTTTCTGTCCGCCTCCCTCCTCGGCCGAAAGAAACAGTCGGGGCTCGGCAGTGGTAGCACGCTCGTACTATGGTTTTAATAGACGTACATGGACAAGTCGATATAGACAGATTTATAATTCTATACAGTCAGTCCGACATACACAGGGACGCTGTAAACAGGGGAGCGGGCCGGAGAGCGGGTGTGCAAAGTGGGCGCGGCGCGGGGCCCCGGCCGCGCCCCGAGCTCTCCCGGCTCGACTCTTGCACGGCGGGCGGTGAGGAGGGGGTTCTTCGCCGGCGCGAGGGGGCCACGTCCTCGCCCGGGCGCGGAGCAGAGGGCTTGGGCCTGCAGCAGGCTCGGGGACTGGGGTGCTCTGCGGCGAACCCTTTCGATCCCCCCTGCCACGTCCGCTCGGCCAGCTGCGGCTCCGTGGCCTTAAAATAGAAATCCGGGACGTGGAGAGGGCGAAAGCTCTTCGGGGCACGCCGGGGCCCTGTGCGCTCCTCGGCACGTCCCCATCCCGGACTGGGCACCGTCAGGGCCGCCCCAACTCGGATCCGATGCGAGCTACGGTGTGCTCGGCAGCTCGGCCGGGCCCGGCTCGGAGGGGCGCCTTGGTTCCTGGCGGGGCCGGGGAGGGGACTGCTCGGCGGCTCCGCGCGTCCAGTTCCCCGGCGTGGCCGTTCAGTCCGGGTCCGGCGCGGCGGGAGCGCCGGCTGCGAGGGCGTCCTGCCCGGGCCGCCCCGGTTTCGGGGTGCTCCCCTCCCGCGCCGCTGCCGCTCCGCCGAGTGGCCCGCCGGGCCCGAGGGGGCGAACACGCACCGCCCGCGCCCTCCCGAGGGAAATTGCAACTCATCCGTTTTTGCGCGGCACTTTTCTCCGACAGCTTTTGTCTGGTCTCGTTTTATGTTTTGGTTTTTTGTTTGTTTTTTTTTTTTTTTTGGAGGGCGGCGTGGGGCCCAGGAAAGCAAACACAAATCCAACCCGGACGTGGGGAGTGGGGAGGCGGGGGCTGCGCAGGCGCGCGGGCCGCGAACCGGGCCCTGCGCGCGGCCTCCGCGCCCGCCCCCGCCCGGCGCCGAGCCGGCCGCCGGCCCGCGTGGCCCGGCCGGGCGGTCAGCTGTTGTACTGGCACGCGTTGAGGCCCGAGGCCGGGCCCTGCAGGCCGCCGTAGCCGAACGACGAGTGCTGCTTGGACTTGAGCCGCAGGCTGGCGAGGCTCGAGTTGCACGTGTCCCGGTAGACGCTGTAGGGCGAGGCGGGGGTGCCGTACGGGCAGGCGCCCGGCGACATGGCCGAGTTGAGCGAGGAGCCGGTGAGGTTGTTGATGTTGTTGAGGCCCGAGTTGGGCATGCCGGGCACGGCGCCCGGGCCCATGCTCGACGGCATGGTCATGGAGGAGATGGAGCTGGGCGCCGAGAACATGGACTGCGACGACAGCGGGCTCATGGAGTTGAAGAAGGTGAAGCTTTTGGTGGAGAGCGGCGCGGGCGCCAGGCTCTTGGCGGCCCAGTTGTTGTAGGAGTAGCCGGCGGCATACACGTCCTCGTAGGGCTGCACCAAGCCGCTGAACTGCGGCACGTAGCCGCCCTTGCACAGGTCCAGCTGCTGGTTCCGCTCGCGCTTCCGCCACTTGGCTCGCCGGTTCTTGAACCAGACCTGGGGGAGGGGGCAGGAGAAGGGTCAGGGCTGCCCGGGGCGGGAAGGTCCCCGCCGACACCTCCCGCCCCTTTCATAATATCGTTTCTCTTCTCGGGTATTTCTGCCCCTGCTTTCTCTCCCTAACGATTCCTTTCCTGTCCCCAGAAAATAGGAGTCCGTTCCTTTTTCTGATCTTTATGCTCTCCCCCAAATTAAATCCGTTTTCTTCTTACTAGGGACCCGCTTTTGTTTTTAATAAAAGAATCGTTTTCTTCCTCAACCAGTCCATCTTCTTTCTTCTCCCCCACCCCCCAAAACGGTTCCCGTCTGTCTCCTACATGTTCCTTCTCCCTTGAACACAAAAGGTATTTTTCTATCCTGAAACGTAGTATTTCCGTCAACTGCTACTCCCGGTCTTCAACCTATTTTTCGTTCCTCAGATAGTCTGTTTTATATCTTTATTGCCAATATTTGATGTTTTCATTTCTGCCCTAAATGTTTATTTTCGTTGGGGCTGAACCACTTTCTTCTCCCTCAAACAGGCCATGTTCTTCGTTATCCCCATTTTTGATTCTTTCATTTCTTACCCAAATACCTCCCTCTTCTTTTCAAATAGCTGAACTTCACCGTTCCTCTTAAGTAGTTTATTTTCTCAAATGCTTGTGCTTTGCTGCTCCCTTGAAATTTCATGTCTTTCCTGCCGCTTAAATATATGCCAAATGGGTTTCTGTGCAAGTATTTAATTTCCTTTCATATCTTACTAGTTTCTCTCCAATCTCCCCCTTCACTTTCTCCCACAAAAGCTGTAAGAACGAACCTCTTCTTTCCCAAAGCCTGATCCTTGTGGACCCTTATTCGGTCTCATGCCTTCTGCTCTCCCCAGCCCTCCCCCAGCCCTGGACTGAGTTTCCCAAGGTAGCTTGCAGGATCTCCGTGCTCCCCATCTCAACTTTCTCCAGTCCGCAGCACTACCACTGCCTATCATACCCCCACCCCATAAACCCAGGCAGGATTAGTGAGTTCAGGATTACTGAGTACTGTCTATACTCTGTCCTACTGGGCTGGCCATCCTGGCTGGCATGCGATGAGAGCTGGGGTTACAGCAGATACTGTGGGCCAGGTGGGACTTTTTAGTCTTACATGCTTTCTATAGCCGATTATTTGCGCACCCAGAAAAGAAATGATTTTTGTTGCTCTTGACAGGGAAAACTTCCTTTTACTGGGAATCAAAGGATAAGGAAAGGAAGGATTCGCTTTGGGCTTGGGTCCCAAAAGGGTAACCTTAGCCTGAGGGTGACCCGTTCCCTTAAATTTCCAGTCCTCCTCCCTCCCTTTCCCAAAGAATATTAGGCAAAGGGTTCAACTGACTGAATGGCTGGGGACGAGTCAGGTGGAGAATACCCTGAGATTTTGGAGAAGCTAGGAGAAGATGGGACTGATGACCTAGGAAATTCTGAGATTCCCAAAGCTGGGTACTTTCTATGCTTCTCCCTGGGCACCAGGCAGGACCTGCCTTTCCCTTTCGTTTTCAGGGGAAGGCGCCAAACAGCTTCCGAGGTCCCCAGCGGAGGGAATCATCTACTCTTTCTAGGGTGGTAACATCCGAGTGGGCCCTCAGCCCTACCGGGCATGGGAGAGTCCCTGGGGCTGCCGTAGACCTCAAGGACGAGTCAGAGGGGTCAGAGGGATCCAAGGTGGCATCAGCCGAGGGACAAAAGTGGCCAAATGCTGGGCAACAGCTGGGGTGAACTGGGGCTTAAGATGGAATCTCCTCCGGCGCAGGGAGGGAGCAGGTTTGGGTGGTGGATAGAGTGAAAGTCTGAGCTTGGGTCTAAGCTTTCCAGGGCTGCGGCAAGGTCAGCCAGCAGCCCTCAGCGCGGTCCCGGTAGGCGCGCCCCAGCTCACCCTCACTCGTGGCTCGGTGAGGTTGGTCCACACAGCGATCTCCTCCCGCATGCTCATGTCGGGGTAGCGGTTCCTCTGGAAGGTGGCCTCCAGCTCTTGCAACTGCTGGCTTGTGAAATGCGTACGTTGCCGCCTCTGCTTCTTCTTCTTGGTGGGGTCCTCTGTGCCACCACACCCCGTGCCGCCGGCACTGCTGTCCTCTGGCCCCTTGGGTTCCCCGCTGCGCTCCTTCTCTGAATCAGGCAGGACCGGGCGGTCAAGTCGGGTTTATACCCTTTTGTAACCCATCCCGGTTCCACCGAAGGGCCTGCCACCAGAGCTGGCAGCACTTCCTCCCACCAGAGACCCTGGGATTGCCCCCATTGGAAATAGGTCGTTCTGGTGGTTAGTAGTCACCTCTGGTCTGGCATGCCTAGGAGAAACCCCAACCCGCAGCTGCGGGCCTACTTTTCCAACTCTGCTTCCTCTCAAGCACTACTGCTGATGTCAACCACAAATGTTCAATTTTGCTGTGGAATCTTAGGGCTCTAAATCTGTGGGGGTCTCTGTTTTTACTAAACCAGGTTCAGATCTTTCCAGCCTGAAGCGAACTGGTCAGTGGCGCTAGAGCCAGTCAGTGGCCCCAAACCCTTCTGCTTTCTTATCTCCAGGGCTGTGTGGGAGTCCTGTCGGACAGGCACACACAGTGGGGTTCCTGGCCTTAGCTTCAGGCCTGGAGTCCCAAGGCCCAGAAAATCCCAGCCCAGAAGTCCAGACAGACAGACTCTAAGTGAGCTGGGCTCTAGCGGCTCTCTTTTTAAGTTACATAAAACACATGCAAGTCACAGAAACAAAAAATTTAAAAACAAAACACCGAAGCCGAGAAGAATCCCACAGCTTCATGCCTGACAACACAGAAAGGGTCACAAACTCTCTAAAACAGGCAGGTAGGAACACAGAACAAATGCAAACTTAGAAGCCAGAGTAACCTTGCAAAAACACCCCTAACTAAATACAGCGCCGTGCATGTGTAAACTTCAGGCAGACACAGGCATTTATTTCTTGTGGATTAAAAAAAAAAATGTAGGTTGTAAATAGATTTTAAAACTCCTTCTCAATAATGTCCATCTAGGGATAATTTTTAAATTGCGGGAAACTAGAACTATAGATAATTTAAATTCCGCAAATAATCATGATATAAATGAATTTTAAGAAAATCGCCGAGAAACGCGCCATTTTGGTCTGACTTTTAAAAATTTCCGGAATAATATTGTGCGTAGATTTTTCAAATTCCAGAGCAATACCCAGAGTACAGCAATTCTTTCTAAATCGAAAAATATAGTTAAAATATTAAATTTATCTTATCTTCATTACATGTGGTTTTTCCTAAACTACATTTTTCTGGGACTTAAAAATAAAAACCAACCCAGTACCACGCTTAAAACTATCGAAAACAAAAGCCTGTAGTTCAGCGCTGATTGTTTTTTAACCAAGCAAACCGAACCTCTCAGAGAAAGTCACTTAGGGATGCAAAACAGAAACAAATAGAGATTAAAAACGTGTAGAGAAACCCTCAGCGGAGGATTAAGAAATGAACGCAGAAGAGGCGCCACGGGCCTGGGAGTGGGGAGCCCGGCGGCGACCCCAGTGAGGGTGGCGGTCGAGGGAGCAGTTTGGAGACCCGGGAGGTCGGTGCAGGCGAGAGGGATTCGCCGCGCGACTGCCAGCGCCGCCCACCCGCCGGCCCCGCGCCGAGCAGGGGGAGAAAACCTCGAGCTCGTGCAGAAAGGCTGCGCCGCCGAAGCTTGCCCGAGCCCAGGCCGAGCCCCGGCCCGGCGGCCTGGCGCTGCCGGCTTCCCCGACGCACGTGGGGCTGGGAACCCGCGCCCAAGGCTGGGGTCCGGCCTCTCGGAGGCGAGCCGCGCCCCTTGACCCCCTCGCCTCTACTGCCCTCTCCACGCCTGCCTTTGCCGTGAGACAATTCCCCAAGTTTACTTCCCTGACTTTTCCCGCCCACCTCCTCTCGGGGGCCACTCTCCCTCTCAACAGGTCGCCCACGCTCTCTCGGGGCGCCTACCCCCCTTTCAGCCTTCCCGGGCACTTTCTGGGCCCGCCGCCCCCATTCCCTTCTCGGTCGGTTCCTCTCCGCGGCACCTACTTGCGCCAACCCAGCCTTCTCGCTCCCTGCTCCCCTCTCCCCACTCCGTGCGCTCCCGGCGGAGAGGGGCTGTCCGCGCGCCCCTCGGGGTGCAGGTCCGTGCCCGTGCGGGTCTCCTGCTGCGCGGGGACCGCGTGGAAGCGCCTCCATCTAGCACTAAAATCCCGCTCCGGAGAGCGAGGCTGCCCGCGTTCCCCGTCAGGTCCAGGACGGGGAAAGGAGAGGCCCCGACGTTCCCGGGGCGCGGGGGGCGCCTGAGTGCGCGGCGCGGGCGCCAGGCCCTGCCCCCGGCCCCCCGCGCCCCGGCCGGCTCCGTGCGCCCCGCGCGGGCGGCCGCGCTTACCTGGCAGCTCCGTGTCGGACGACTCGCTGGCCGAGTTCTCGAGCGGCTCGCGCGGGTCCGCGGCGCGGGCCAGGTGGAAGGCGGGGCCCATGTCGTGCGTCGGCGGCGGCGGTCGGAGCCCCTCCGGCAGCCGCTCCAGGCTCATGCCCCCCTTGAAGGCGTCCATGGAGGCGGGGACCCCGGCGGGCGCTCCAGGGGCCGGGGCTGGGCGCTCCCGGCCCGGCCGCCCCGGCTGCGACCTGCGGGGACGAGAGCGCGGCGCCTAAGCGGCGGCCCCCCGGGGGTGCCCGAGCCGGCTGCGCCGCCGCGCCCGCCCCATGGACCGCCCAGGGCTGCGGGGCCGGGCGCGCGGCGGCGGCGGCGGCTTCTCGCGCCCGGGCGCCCGGCTCCGCGCTCCGCGCTGCGCTCCCGCCGCTCGGGCCTCGGCCGCCCGCCCGGCCCCGGCTGCGGCTGCGGCTCCAGACCCGGGGCCGGTTCCTGAGGCTCGGGACGGCGCCGGCCGAGTCTGTCTTAAAGCGACAGCGCGCACGCCAGGTTCCGGCAGGCCCCGCGCCAGGGGTGGTGGGTGGGTGGGGTGGGCCGGGGGAGGGGGCTGGGCGGGAGGGAGCGCGCGGGCGAGGGAGCGCGGGCGGAATCCAGCGCCGAGCCGCCCGCGCCGCCGCGCCCTCCGCGCTGCCCTCCCTGCCTCCTCCCGCCCGCCGGCCGCGCCCGCGCCCTCCCCCCTCCGCAGCCACCTTCCCGCCGCCTCCCGCCCCCTCCCCCCGCGCCGCCCGCCCGCGCCGCTCCCTGCTCCCCGGTGACACTCCGCGTTCGCCCTCGGCCGCACAAAAGAAACCGCATCTGGCCTGCAAGCCCCGCGCGGCTCGCGCCCACCTCGAGCCCCACTTGACTGGTTTTGCTCAGAGTCGACGCCTGTCTGGGCCGCCTCGAAGTCCTCAGTCCCCGGCGAGAGCTGCCCGGGACGAGTGGACGTTCCCCGAGCAGGATGGCACCGCGCGGGCGCCTCCGAGCCAGCGCCAGGGCGGGGGCAGGGCCCGGGGCGCGTTCCGGCAGCTCCCAGCGGCGTCCCCGTCGAGGGGCCGCGGGCCCCTCCTCCCTCGGCCTCTCCTCCCGGGACCTGAGCCGGCTGAGTGACAGCAGCCGGCGCTCTAATGGGCCCCCGGATGCTGCCTCCTAATTAGCTTGGACCCTCTCCCCCAAGGCCGCTTCTCAGGCCTCCCCCTCTGCACCGCAGTCAATTTTCCGGGATTGGGATAGAACTGATGGCTTCTAATCAGACGAAACGTTTCTGTTGGCACCAGGCCGCTGGCGAGTGCAGCGGGAGACCCCAAGAGCCCTGTCAGGCCCCACAGTCGCTTCTGTAGGACGCTCCCCCCCACCCCCACTTAGTTCTGTGCTTCCGACCATCAGGCCAAATGGGCCCGGCCAGAGCTTTGGCAGCTGCGGAGTGGGTGTCTACCCTCTGCAGGGCAGGTTTGCGGTGACCTCAGGCCTCTGCCTTAGCTCCCCAGAGCTGAGGGCGCACAGGCATGGCGGCCAGGTGACTGCAGTCTCCCAGCCCAGGGTCACAGCTCGGGACGCCGGTCTTCCTGTGCTTCTTTCCCACACAGTGGTAGCTAAGCTGCAGCACTGGTGGGCACCAGATGGGCACAGACAGAGACCTTACTCAGCCCCCCCCCTCCATTTGTGATCACCTCCTTGAGTCCTCCCACTTCAGTGAAGTTTGTTGAAGGATTTTGTTCAACACTTGCTAACTGGCCCTGAGACCTCAGAGTCTTGAGCAAGTAGGCGACAGCTGGGATGTTAGGGGGCACCTCTGACTTGTCCCTCTGGTCACAGCTGGACTCCGTGCTGATCTCTGTCCCTGACTGGCTGACCAGTTCCACCAGACAGGAGTGCTATGTAGGACAGTGACCTCGGGAAGCACTGCCTTACTCTCCAGGCCCCATGCCCGCCTCACCGGATGGGCCCAGTGCATCCTCACATCCTCCTGGGGGGCTCAATTTGGGATTGACGGTGCAGGCTATGAGGCTCTGGGACATTCTGCAGGCATTGCCAGCAAACGCGTGCACCACCGGCCTCTCCATCACAGGGAGGCACCCAGGCTCTTGGTGAAGGCCGGAAGCAGGCTCAGGTGCGGGCACAGGGAGAAAGCAGGCCTGCCCCCCATTCCCAGCTCGGGGCAGAAGCACAGTTCCTTAGATCCCAGCCCACTGTGGATCCCGGCCCTCTGGGTGTCTGTGGCCACCCGGGGCAGGGTCTAAGGTCTGAGGCCAGAGGAATGATGTATCCCCAGACTCCCCAAAGGGAGGCTCAGCCACTCCTGATTTTTCTTCCCAAAGGGAATTTGTCCTGGTTGAGAAGCCCAGGGTGAAATTAGTCTTGGTATGGAGGAGAGTGGGAGGGGGACACAGGGAAGGAAGGTTGTTCAACATTTCCCCTCTCTGCCGTCTCTTAACCACATTCCTCGCTGAGCCTCCTGCAGCAGCAGATAGAAGGAGTTGAGGTGCTGTGGCACCCCAGGGAGAGCCCTCTACACACTGCCCTCTGGGTAGCTGCCTTCCCCAATAGTACGGCCTGTCTGGAGGCATGTGCTGGGTACACACAGACATGCACCCACCTGGTAATGCTGGGTACAGCCACATATGTGACACAGCTAGGCTGCTGAGGCCCAGAACACTGATGCTGTCTGGCATGAAAACTGGCGGCTGTGGGTGTGTTTAAGCCGCCGAGTGTCAGATGAAGTGGAAGCACCGCGCACCTCTGGTGGGCACCTGGAATGAGTGGTCTGTCTGCGGGCATCCAGAGGCTGAGCTTCATGGCCCCCCACTCCTCAGAGGGTCTGTGGAGTCAGGCCCTCCCTGGCATGTGACAGCAGATCTAGCTATTGAGTCTGAGGGGCTCACTGTTGAGACATTTAATGCAGTTATTGAGCACCTGTGGTGTGCTCCTGCATGTGGAAATCTTGATGGCTGCTGTGGAAAAGGCCCTCACATCTTGGCCGGCAAAGCCCCATGTCCCTGGGAACTTGGAGCCCCAGCATGGGGCTGGCACTAGTGGGCACTCTGGGGGAGTCTTTCGGGCCACAGGCAGTGCTGAATGAGCAGGGGGACAAGGAATTGGAAGCTCTGGCCTGATCTTGGGTGTTGGCAGGGAAGGGATCTGGACACTCTTCGTCACCAGCCGCACCTTTTGGTGGCCACTATCTGAGGTGGGGTGGGGGCTCATTGCCCACTCAGACACGTCACACACAAACACAGGACAGGAGGCAGCTCTTTCACGAGTAAGAACAGCGCTTGTTCCCCTGGTTTTGCTGAGAGATCTTGGGCGAGGCTTAGCTTGCACTGTGCCTCAGTTTCCATGTTTCACTTGGGACAGCAATCCCTGCCTGCTCTTTCAGCCTCTAGCTCACTTGATGATGGGATGTGAGGTGAGGAGAGAAGGGGCTTCCTGGGGCCGGAACCGTGTGCCCTCCTCCCGGCCCCTCCAGGTCACCCAGAGCCTCAACGATTCTGTTACTTGCAGGAAATTTGGGGCTTAGAGTCCTAGCTAGGCTGAGCAGAGGTGCCCGGGCTGTTGTGGGGATTGAATTAGGGTCCGTAGGGTTCGGACCCTTCCTAGGGCTGGGCTCCTTAAAAAACGGACTTGGTGCCCAAGAATGGTTTAGTAATTTATTCTGGAAAGGCTGGTTGGAGGGTCCTCATGGGGGCATCCTTTACCCATAGGGGTACCGGTACCTGGCCCTAATTTTTGTGTCAGAATTGAGGGATTTTAGGAAAAGGGAAGGAATGTGCCATGGCTTGCCCTCGGGGCCATCCATGACTCTCCGGGACATTCCAGCCCTAAGCCTCTTAGTCCGGGGAGAAGTTCAAACTAGAAAACCCAGTTTTGGGAGTGCAGCGGGGACCACCTACCTCCTGCGCTTGATCTAACACCCTCTCCCTAATAAAAGCTCTTGTTTCTTGAAAATAAGCAATTACTGGGCAAAGGGAAAAAGAGGTGTTCAGGTAGGGGCCAGAATGGTCTCACTCCATTCTTCAGGCTTTCCAGGACCTCAGCCCGAGGCTTCATGCCAGTTGGGGTTCCCCAGCCTGTCCTGGCAGGGAGAGCTGGGATGTATTTAGGCGCAATGGCTGCATGGGGCACTGATGGGAACATGGACTTGGAACTCCGTCAGCACCCTCCTTGCGGGCTCATGCCACAGCCTAGCTAAGTCGTTGGGTGCGATTGGGTTCCTGAGAGTGGCTGAACAGAGGGGAAGTGAAGGCCAGGAAAGTGGCAGCGGCTGGCCATGCCACTGGAAACAGCCCGGGAAGAGAGGAGCTTTTGCGGTAGCACGGTCCACTCTCCCCAGCGGCTGAGTTCCAGAGAGAAAGTCACTCTGAGCCTGGCTGCAAGGTCAACAGTTGCTGCCCCTCCATCCCACAGTCTGTTCTGCGTGTCCCCATCCATCTCTTTCCTTTTCCCAAAAGACATGCGGAGCCCCAGAGCAGTCTGAGGAAAGTGCAGAAGGCCAGCAAGCACCCCTCTTGCGCTGCCGCTGTGCCTACAGCTTTGCCATTACCTTAGCCTGGCGGCGTCAGCCAAGTGGACAGCAGCCTGGGGTTGCCTCTCTGGCCGGGGGCTGTCAGAGGCTGTTGGTATGCCAAGATATCCCAGCCTTCGTTTCTCAGAAAAGTGGACTCATATTTTTAGATGAAGCGAATTCCTAAATCGGAAAAGCTGGAGACCAGGATGCCAGGCTGGGGTCCCCAACTGTGCAGTACAGGGCCAAAGCCAAACCATTCCGATTTAGGAGCCTTCTCAACTTTAGCATACTGAGACCCGGTTCTAGAGAAGCGGCTGTGTGCTCAGAACCATTTGTCAACAACCAAACCCGGGAGAAGCCCGGGGCGTCTTTATTGGATTCTGCGGAGAGCGTTTGGGTTTTCTCTTAGGCTTCAGGGAAAGCTAGACCCGTGCTGGCAATGGCAGGCCGCAGCGGGCTGGGGGTTCCCCCCAGCTCTATCGCGGGACATCAGGGTCTGCGGCGAAAAGAGCCCACACATGTCTGTTGCTTTTCTGGGGCGTAGTTGCCAGAAGGAACGAACGAATGAAGCGGTTTCGTTTGGGGAAAATACCCTCTTGACGCGAAGCTAAAGCCCCAGACCCGCCATACAGAGGTGCCAGAACCTTCCCTGGCGCAGGGGCCCCCATCCTGGGGCGCAGCAGCGGAGCGGCGGGGCCCCTTCTGCCAGCCGGGCGCCCGGGCTCCCAGCACCAAGCGTCCTCCCCGAGGACCCCTGCGGCCCGCGGTGCCACGAGGGGCTGCGACGGGCGTCCAGGCAGTGCCCTTTTACAGTCTGGGCCCGCGCCCCTGACAATGCTGCTTTCTTAGGGTGTCCGAGCCCGAAGCGTGGGATGGGCCCACCGGCAAGGAGAGGGAGCGCCGGCCCCGGCGGCTGAGACCGAGCCCCGGCCGCAGGAACGCGCTCCTCGCGCTGCCTCGATGGCGCCCGGCCTGCGCG